ACCAAACCAAACCAAACCAACAAAACAAACCGAACCATAACACAACAGGATGCACTCTGTGTCTGGGTCCCAGAAGTTGGTTCCCGGGCGTGACCACCGACGACACCCACCTCCAGGCTGCTCAGTTGAAGAGAAGAAGAACAACAAATCGACTCCGAGGCCCATACTCCACGATGCCGAGACTCTTCAATCTCTCTGCCAGACCTGGGTGGAAGCTATCAAACGCCAGAATTCCGGCTTTTTTCTGGTCCGACACTCAACATCTTCTCTGGGCTCAGGCCGACCAAAATGGCGAATGACACGAAGGTACTCCATGCCTGCTGATTTCTGGCACAGTCCTCCGATTCCGAGGAGATTTGGCTGATTTCTGTCTCACCTCATCTGTGCATGACCAGTTTGGAAAGACTATATACACAAATTGTCGATGTGGACGTACACTAGGTACTCTACTTGGGTTGGACATGGCACTCTCATACCGTATGGATTTAGTATGGGTCCGTATCCTCATAGGGTACAAAGTAATAAACATGTATGTGTATATATATATATATATGTATGAAACGTGCAACTCTGTGTTTCTATCCGTATCTAGTCTATCTGTAGGAGTCTGAGTTGACGTGTAGTTTCACGATGTGGTAAGGAAGCTTCAGCTTCCAAGACTGCACCTCTGCTGCACCCACTCTACACCAGCATGGTCGGTAGCAAGCATTGCAGTGGCATGACAAGGCCAGAAATACAGGTACAAGTGCTCACATCACCTATACATGCAATGGAAAGTAGGAAAAACATTAAAAAAAAAAACAGAGTCAGATATTCCTGGTCTACATATGCCCGCAGAAGAAAGCTTATACAACGTCGGGGGCTTCAGATGAAGGAGGGAACTGTTTACACTTGGAAGAGGGGATGGATTTCATCCTACTCAGCGCATGACAAACTCACTGGCCACAGCAGTCAAATGCAATTCCGACTCAGTCGATTGAAATGAGTGCACGCTCGACACTCACATCAAAGCCAACGATTCTTCAAAGCAACAACGTAGCCTCCACACACGCGGCAACAGAACTTACGGAGTACCACACGGAGCAAAGAAAAGACCACATGACTCTGGAGCAGCTACATCTTTGGGTGTGTATACACCCATTTGCGGAAACCGATGCGCTTCGATTCGCTGTGTCTTTAATTGCTTGATGGGCGCCAACGGGCCGTCTTTGCCGTGTCACTACCCCACAAATCCTAAAAAATCCACTTCCTCCTCGCGTGGATGCGCCATGAATCTCAAGAGTGGGGTGCCCTCGCTTGCAAGGTAGAACGACATAAACACACGACGAAATGTACTCATGCACGACCTCAACATCTTTCTTCATTGACCTTCTAATACCAAGGATGAGTGCCCCATCTTCCACACCAGCTTCAGTGAATGCCGTTCTTGGTCTTCCGTTTGGCTGAGACTCAACTTCGCCGTGCTCACTGCACTTCGAACACTTACAGCAAAAGGTCCTGCGTTCAGTGCTACTCTGCCGGTGAAAATTCCTGATACGGACATGCGTCCGTGCGTGCGTGTGTGGGTGTGGGTGTGTGTGCTAGGCTTGCAGGACGTCCATTGGTTCACTGGTTGGATGATCTGTTGGTCGAAGAGTTCAAGTTCAAAGTTCTTGTTCGGTTCATTGATCAATCAGTTTCAATATGTTTCAAGGACTTGGACTGATGATGACTGACGATGACTGATGACAAAGAAAAATTTGAGTCGTTGATCCATTTTTTCCAGGCCCAACGGAGGCGCTACCTTCAGGACAATCAGGGTTGGTTCATCGGGAGTGTGACTCTGTGACTTGTGTACATTCGTGTACTCTGGTTCCGAATCTCATTGATTCTGCTGGACCATGCTGGACCCTCCTTCGTCCTTCATGTGTTGCTCACATGGCACACGTGTCTGCTTGGGGTGTTGCATGGCCCTTTTGCTGCACACATGGCACGCTGCTGGCACACATGGTATTTTAGCATGAATGGAACCGCAGGCCAAGGCGTCGGCCTGCGGAAGCTTTGTCGTTATCAAACATTGGATCATCTTGGTGGCACAGGATGCAAGGCAACTGTGTAATTGTGTACAGTATCAGCAACACTTGATTTCGCAAGCCTTTCCTCCCACGTGATGACACCGGTCATTAGCAGCAGTCCAATGCCGCAGAATGCAGTGACCGCCGGCGAGATGTGAATCAATGATGTGGAAGCCCACAGAGCTACCATACCTGACCAACTGCAAAAACTATCCCTGCTCGAATGCGAGTCGTTCTGACAACAGTAAAAAAAAAACGGGACCGAAGCATCGTCAAGCAACAGGAAAAACCCTCCTTCGGAACATCTGTCAGTCACACTTCACATCATGCCGAAATGAAGCTAGGACACGTTGTTGTTGGGTTCGTTGATGTTCGTTGTGTTCGATGAAGCTAGCTAGTCACATGTCACCTCCTTCAGTCACCAGACTAGCCACGGTTTTGACCCGCCTAGCATGACACAAAGAAAGACCTTCTCATCGATGGAGATGGGGCCCATCGCATCCAGCCGCTGCTGCGCCACCTCGGAGCCGCACCGTCACCGTCACCGCCACCGCCGCGAACGCGCCGTTCCCCGGGGGTGTTCGGCCTTGGGTGCGTCGGGCGTGGTCCGCGCGTCGGGCGGCAGAAGCTTCAAAGCGATCAGTGGGGTCAGCAAGAAGGAGACCGAAGCCTCCCAGCGTCAAGAAGGAATTCTGCAGTGTGGACGAATTCTGCGCGGAAAAATAAAGAAAAACACCACACGTGAACTGCTGCGTCACCATGAGGCGAATGCAGAAAGTCTTGGGATCAGGCAGGTATTACAGCTGCAGTAAACCAACTGTGAAAAGGATGTTCCACATGAACTCCAACCTCATTCCACCCGAGTCTTCACTCACTTCACTCAGTGTCCTTCACCCCAAAATGCTGGGCTCGGCCACATCCTCGGCGAGTTTCAGCACGAAATAGTTCTGCGCTGCACCAGTGAGGAACATGCACGACGATGTCGCAGTGGCCTGGTGGTCGTTTCGGCTCGCTTCCTTTAAACACCCAAAATCACCACTGACACGACCAAGAATGGTGAAGATACGACCCATTCCTGGACCCGCCTGATAGCAGCACTCCACCAGGAATTTCCCGCACTTGAACTCGGTTCCCTGGCCGGTGGCCGCGTGGCCGAACTCACCGGTGTTTGCGCGCTCCGTTCCGTCCGCCCGCGGTGTTCGCCTCGTCAGGGTCTGAGCCACTGGCTTTACAGACCTGAGCATTCTCCGACCAGCTGGTGCGGACGGCAAGGGCGACGGGCGTTTCATTGGTTTCCAGCAGGGGCGTTTCCAGCCACGTCTCTCCACGTCTCTTTTCAAGAAATCCGGAACTGAACGTCCAGCCGCCTGGAGCTAGATTCTGGAGCTAGAGAAATTTAGGAAGCCAATTGACTGATCCGGCCAACTGTGCCAGAGTGATTGTGATAAGAGCGGCGGCGTTTATTCATTGTATATTTGTACTAAGCTCAAGTATACGATCTATTGTGGGGGCCCTATCTCTTTTAGACTACTTAAGTAGGAGGTCATGTCACAGTATCTTGTTCAGACTGCTTTAGTAGCAAATCACAGTATCTCGTGTAGACTACTTTACCTAGTGTCATCTCGTTTCTGTGGGGGCCCAATCTCACCAGCGAATACTGTTGGACAAACAAGTAGAGCATGCCGTAGACTACTTTAGTAAAGCCATTGTCAACAGTAAAGTGGTTGTAAAGGCCAATACAATAGTCTATTGTATGGCATTCTTTACTTTAAAGCCTGATTAAAAGTGGATGTAAAGCCATTGTCAACTGAGGCCAGCTCAGACTTGGTGATCGGATAAAACACTGCTGCCGCCTCAATCAGTTGCGGCAAACCACTAGCTAAACAGGATTCATTTGTGAAAGACTAGCTAGAATTGAAGATCAAGCTTCGAAACTCGCAAAAAACGGGTGTTCCAAAAAGCGCACCCCGTGTCACTCCATGTGCCTTAGTCATTCTGAGCACCTTCATGTCACCTCCTCATGACCGTAGTGGACAAGTTTTCAGGTTCGCCCAGTTTCGCTCGTAGCTCTAGTCCTGGCCTTTGCCTCCTGGCCCCTCCCCAGAAATGGCCCGCTCGCTGGGCGTCCAGGCACGTGCGGCCGAGCAAGGCATCGTTGCTGCCACCATGAGCTCTGCAAAGTTCAGACCATACGCCAAGCCCACCCTAGAAACGACGCGAGGACTCCGACGACCCATCAGGCAAGCACCGTTTCTTCCGAAAAGCTGTTTGAAGGGTGGGTGGTCTATTGCACAACTGGGTGTGTGGATGGGTGGCTGGGTGTTGGCATGGTTTTGAGATGTTTTGAGACCACGTTGGAATGGCATGCAAGCATCTAACTCCCAATCCTGCAAACTAAGTGAATGAGTTTTCAAGATCCATCAGTCCTGCCATGTCCGACCATGTCCCCGTGTTTAGTCATCGTCTTCATGTCACTAGTTCCGTCAAGTGCGTCCCTGAGGCTTCCCACGTGGTGCCCCCCACAGCCCGGATCACGTTCAAGGCGATTCGGTCCCCAAGACCTGTCCTTGGCCACGATCGGCGCGTTCTCCGGTGCCGTTCCCCGGTGCCCCCGGTGTTTCGCGTCCGTCCAGTGTCGCCCAGCGGCTTCTGAAAGCCATCCGCGAGAAAAAAGGCGATCACCACAAGCCAAACAACCTGCTCTTCTTCCCCAAACCATTTCCAGGAAGACCAGGTGTTCTCTCTGGGCCGAAGGAAGAGACCTGCTTTTGAAAGAAAGCCAAACATGTTCTGAACGCCACTCGCCTCGTCGGTGAATGCTTTCAGTCCCTGTGCCAGGGTCGCGGTCCCCGTGAAGACCACCACCGACATGGCCACCACGGTGGCCGCCGCTGGAGGCAAAGGTCGCAAGACCTCGACAAAAATCCCGCCGGTCAAGACATCTGATGGGATGGTCAAAAAGCAACAACAACAACAACAACAACAACAACAACAACAACAACAACAACAACAAGAACAAGAACAAGAACAAGAGATTACCCATTTTCTGCAAAACTGATGTCTCTAATTTCTAATTATATAATTCTATAGTTTTATGTATCTATCTGACACTTTATTACTGGTGCGAAATCAAGGGAAATCAACTGAATGAGGGAATGAAGACTCCACTAGAGGGTCCTGATCAAATCCGTTCCCTCCCTGCCGGACTCATTCCCTTGCTCAGCACCAGTCAGACGTGCCGTGCCGCGTTTGTCAGGTCACTGTTAAAGATGAATCCGTTGCTCTGACATACACGATGAGACATATACAATAGTGACCTTAGAACGATTCTCATCTGTTTCAGTAAGTCTTCCACTACCGCCACGATCATGGAGACGAAAATCGATAGCATGGACCAAGCCTCCCGGAGTCGGCGTCGTGAGGTCTGAAAAACCAGGGAAACAGACGTCTGAAAGGAGCACAAACGAGGGTTGGGGAAACACTCTAGGCCAGGAGCCCTGTTCGTAGCGTCCTTGTTCCTAGTAAGGCCAGGCCTGGTCAGAGACACCTGCAGGAATTGGACAAAGAAATCGAATGATCCATCCTGAGAAGCGAGAAACGACCCGGACGCTGCAGTGTCCCTTCTGCGCTCTGTGGCCGTCGTCACTCAGCCAGGCTCCGATGGCCAAACATGGTATCAGAGCTTCAATATTGGCTCCCTGCAGGGTATCAGAGCAGCCACTCAAGGTCTCAAGGTGAATTCGCTACAATTCCTTTTTGTACCAGGTCCCCAAATGGTGTTCAAAATTTGGCTCTGCAGAGCAAATTCTGCACAACCTTGGAATTGTGGGAATCCCCTTGAACTCCATTTGACATTTCCGCGGTGACAATCTTCTGTCAAGCTGGGATGGTGCAGAATCTTCAAAAGTTAATTTTCTCCGTCAACCCTCGGTCAAGCCGGTCTGAAGTTGGCTAGGTCCTCACGTCGCCTGCCAGGTCTGCTCACGCTGACGCTTCAAAAGGTGAAGGCAAATCACCAGACACACCTGCACTGGCCGTGTGGCGGCACGGTTGCCGGTGGAGAACACTCAAAAATCCGGTTTTGAGCCTCAAAGCCACCAACAGATGTTGCCAGCCAAAGATTCTTCTCTGTAGCAGAGCTGCCCTTTCCTCGAAGTCCAGCAGATTGGTTGGGAGAAAACACTGACGGGACTGTGTTGGCACCTCCAGGAACTGACGTCTTCAGTCTGCCTTCGCTCTGCAGTAAGAAAACCACTGCTGCCTCACTGCCAACGCAGCAACCCATGTCATCGCGCCACGATTTGAACTGCGGCCCCTGCCACGATTGGAATCAAAACTCCCACTCCTTTCTTCATTCGGCAACCTCAAAAGGAGACACAGAATTGAAGTTGAATCACGCAAGTCAAGTTTCTGGCGCAAAAAACCTACATGTTGAGTCATTGTCACACTTCCTGGCTGAAGCTTGGTGCAAAGCCAGGGTGCCCCACGACAGGCCTTTTAACCCTCGCGCCATAGCTACCAGCTACCAGCTTAAGCGCTTGAGCCAGCAGAGCGACGACCAGCGGTCCTTGACTGCTCTGAGTACGATGAGACCATGCAAATCTGGGCCATGTGGGGACATGTGGGGTCATGTCGTGTCCTTCTAGAATTGGTGTGAAAATGTCCTCTCGCTTGACACTGCTGAGCTGCCAACGTTGCTTCTGGACCTTCCAGTGGCCTCTCGTCAACTTTGCCATGGTACAAGAAGCCTGTCAAGGGGAGGCATGGAGGGGCGTCAAAATCAGACTGCATCAAACCTCTGCTTCAGACACATTGAAAAATCCCAATCTGGCTGGAAAGACCGAAGAGAATTTGAGCCACTTCAAGCGGAAACTCCAACAAGGAGACCTGGCGGAGTTAGACATTCCGCGGTTCGGTCCACCGGACGGCGAATGCGCATGACGGACAATGAAAGACATGAGAAGTGCCAAAGGACGACAACTACCAACAGGTTGACTATTTCTTCGTCCAGGATGTACACCCTAATGATCCCTAGTTGATGGGGGATATGGGCCATGATGTGTAGATGCTGGTACTAGTTGTTTCGTTCGTGGCTTCTCACTGGGCCCATGGAAAGACGTGAACACCTTTTCAAAGGCCGACCCTCCCTCCCGACGGATCGGGACTTCGATGGGCTGCGCTAAGAAAAACGCCTCCGCAGAAGCATTCTGGCTTTCCAGAAATCCACTGCCACCCTGGCTCGCCAGGACCAGACAATTTTTTACGCTTCAACCAGCTCACACTTCAACATAATTATATACTTCAACCAGCCATACGGCTGAACACTTCCAGAAATCCGAGAAAATCCCTCGCACGGAAACACTGCGTACGTCTACATGGAATTTCATGTTTCTGCCAATGTGTCGGTCTCTTTCAAACACACGTCCCACACGTCTGATTCTTTCTGCCACCTGTCTCACGACGTGTCTTTCGTGTCTCCCGTGTCTCCATACGTCTCCCACGTGAAACATCGCCACGTACGTCCGCTTCGCTTGTCTCGGCCTGAAACATCGCTTTGAAGTATTCACTCCGGGACATCAGAATGTTGCGATGAAGGAAAAGGCTTCCCCCATCACATCGAACCGTGACATCTGAAAAGCTCTCGCAGCCATGTTCCTGGCGGCGGCTCGAGCCGTTCTGAGTTCGTACGTGGCTGAAGAAGCAAAAAGGCGGCTTCACAAAAAGCCATGCCATTGCTTCATCTGCGACCTTACATATCTTACATCTTCTGTTTTGGGAATTGGATCTCACAAAGCTGCACGCAGTGAAAGTCGGTGCAATTTCAAGAGCTGGGCTTGTCGATGAATCGCTCGCTTGTCGACAGCAACTCTGAGCACAGGGCGCGAGAATTGCCAGTCTCATGCCCCGATTCTTGCGGAAGCTCTACAGCATCTCGCACCCCAAGCATACGAAGTACTGGAACCTGCAAACCCACGCTGTGAAATTGCATTTGGGCACACCCTGATGCCAAAGGCGAGGTGTACCCGTAAGCTTATTCGTGTAGTAGTGGTACTAGTACAACCAAGCATTCACTGCAAAAGGCGTTGTTGCTGAAACTTTTGCAATCCATGTTCACTCTATCATCAACTATCGACAGCAAGCAGAGAGTGCATAGAGAGTACAACTCTCCCCTTGCGCAGTTGCGGCTTAGCCACACCTTGTCGAGTAAAGCTATTTAGAAAACAGTTTGTCGGAAAATAGATTTATGCCAACTCCGACCTGACTAGGCCGGCAGAACTTAGAAACTCTAAGGCTTTTAGAAAATCGAAAAAGGGAACGCAGGGCCCATGAACTCTGTGAAAACTAGCGCAAAAACAGAATTCAGGCTAAAAAATCATCTATACTGGATGCTTCAGACCTGCACTCCATGTCAGGTCTTAAGCCAAGGGCTTCACATACTCTGCTGTCACCACAAACTTGGAATCCACAAGCTTGCGGGAACCGTGAGGATACAAGTCAGCCTCCATGTTGTAGGTCTCTTTCATCACTTTGCAGAGATTGTCAAAGGACTCGGGCGAGACCTGATGACACTCCTTGTCAACATGCCAGGTAATGGCATAAGGAGAGCACACGGAATTGTCCCAGGACTGCCCTGTGGTTGAACCAGGATACATCACCGAGTTCTCATGACCCACGACGGTCCACCCGTGCAGCAAGTCATCAACAGTAGGGCCACCCGACACAATCTGATAGACCTGGCCCTGCACCACTACCATGGGGTTCAGAATGCCACGGCCATTGGCAGCACCTAACAGATTGAATGATTGACATCGAAGGAAATCATACTGCAATATACTGCATACATCTGCATACTGCCTGCACCATTTATACATTAAGTGGCCGTCTACTTCCAGTATCGATGTCCTACAAAACACTCTGACATGATCTTTCCCTCATGAAACAACCTGATCATTCCACCAGTCTTCCTCTATATGTGACACTTCTGTTACATGCCTCCCAAGCCATCCGCCAAATCGTCAGCATTGATGCCATCAGTCATATCCGAGTCCACACCAGCAGAAGAGTGCACATAGTGGACCTCATATGACTTGCCAACCTGCACATCACCCTTGCAGTACTGGAAAGTGTAGGGAGTCATCTGAGAAGATGACAAAGTGTCGGTTGCACACATCCAGCCAGGGCGAGGATTGCTGGCAAGACGACGGCCCGAAGATGCATCATAAGCTTCTGAGTCTGTTCCGTTCTGGTAGCTATCACTCTTGTGCTCAGCGCCATAGTGGAAGTGTACGTTCACCAATGGTAGGAAATTGGCTTGCGCATCAGTGAGCGTCGCTGCTTTGGGTGTCATCTGACCTTGTGCTCCAGTGCTCAAATCTCGAGGCGTCTGGGGCTCCGCCATGTTGCAAGCTGGTGGGTTGAAGTTGTAAGGGCAGCCGGGCACGGTGGCAGTCAACTCTTTGCTGGATGATCCACAGCACTGCTGGCCCTTGTAGAAGGTCTTCAAGTCGCCACATGTGACTGCTGCAGCTCCCGGCAGGCTGAATAAGGCCGCTGCTGTCAAAGCTGCCTGCTTCAGGTATGATCGGGGAAGCGCAAAGGCGAGGACTGCAATCAACACATTGAAGTTGGGAGCCATGCGCTGGCCAGAAGAGTACTCGTCAGAATCATAGCACAGGTCCGAGTCAATATCATCCGGGCAAATGTCTGCAACAACCAACTGGCCAAGCCCAAGCAAAACCAGCAATGGCAATGCACCAGCCGCCATCATGATGCTAGCTCGCTTCACCGAATAGCTGCTTGCTGCGCTCAAAAAGCTTCAGGAATCACCTTGCA